TAAAAATGTAACCTAATGTAGCAACTGAGGGTAGATAATGTACCCAAGTTAATACAAAATATAACCTAATGTAGCAACTGAGGGTAGATAATGTAACCAAGTTAATACAAAATATAACCTAATGTAGCAACTGAGGGTAGATAATGTACTCAACTTAATAAAAAATATAACCTAATGTAGCAACTGAGGGTAGATAATGTACCCAAGTTAATACAAAATATAATCTAATGTAGCAACTGAGGGTAGATAATGTACCCAAGACAGTAAAACGTATAACCTAATACAAAACACTGGGATGTAGAAAATGTACCCAATTTAGTATAATGTAAGTTAATACAAACATTGGAGGTACATAATTATATAGTGTCATTCAATGATATATGTATATACACACACAAAATACATGAAATAAATATAGACCAATAAAAAACATGGGAACAGTTTATTCTGTTACTAAGCCTATTTTTCTGTCCCTGTTTGCTTATTTGTTTTGTTTTCTTAGAAAATTTCGCGTCTAAAACATTTGTTTCATTCGTAAGCCTAGTTTTTTGTATTATTTAATTTTTTTTGTTGAAACTTTTAAAATGTTTCACTCAGGAGACATTTGTTTCGTTCCTTTCTATTTAAAGCTAATAATTAAAAATGTTCGAGTTTGATGTAAATGATGGTAGTCTTTATTTTAGACTAATTTACCATAAAAGAGCATTGTTTATTTCCTTATCGCTTTTAAGTTCAATCGTCTGTGAATAAGCCAAATCAAATATAAAAAAACGACGCCCTCTGTTGTCAGTGCATGCTACTTCCTTGAATGTCAATGTATCAACGGCTGGTTTATCGCTTTAAAAATATCAGCTTCAATGATAACAGTGTAGGCAGATTTCAAACGCTACAAATATTTCGTAAAATATAGTTGGTGTATATATCTTGCATTTTAGACGCAAATTTAATAATAGCCTTTTTTTTTCTTCTTGGAAATGGTATAATATTACTTCTTCAATATAAAAATGATACATGATACCCATGGTATAATTTATACAACGAATAGTTTAACCCTGACTGATTGCAAGCTTTATCCGTATAGGCTCTAGCTCACACAGAAACAGTGACGTCATTCTGTATAATGTTCTGTCTAGTGTTAGGTCCAACCATTTAAAACCGGTAACATAATTATGTGTAATGTTATGTCTACTGTTTGATCTAACCTGGCACCTGTTAATAGAGTATTACTTTGAACGTCCATCTCCAGTCTACTTCAGGACGCTAACAGTTTTTTAAGTACGATATCTGTATTAACATAACATCTCTTTGTAAAGACGATACCTTTGAGTTTCAAACAAAACAAAACTGTGTAATTTATAATAATTAATGTAATATTTGTAGTCGTGATTGAGTTAAATTTTTGAGGGACTCTGATTGCAAAATAAATGTTCTTATTAATAAGTGAATTGCAGAAAAAGGCTCTTTAATATAAAACTGTGAGAACTCTTCTTTAATAGCATGGAAAAGTATCGTAAAGGTAATATAAGCAGATTTAGAAACCTAATATAATATATATATTTGTTGTTCTTGTTTATTGTCTTATTATTAAAATTACCGTTAGGTAAGTGTTAGAACGTTTTATTTCAACGCTCGTTGACAGTAAGCATAAGTTTATTTTAATAAGTTTATTTGTTGTCATTAACGTTTGCAATTTCAGTTAGCAGATTGACTATTAAATCTAATTGTTTTGAACACTGCAGCCATTACGATTTTACATAAATGTTAAATACCGAACAGCTTACAAATAGAAAGGGGAAATTTGCTGATACCCTAGTAACAAACTAGTGACGCGTCCAGGCACATCATCTACAAGGCTTTCATATAAATAAAATCTTATTAACATGAGAGCTGAACGGCTGTAATTCTGAAGTAGGTACTCGTGAGTGCAGAGCTACATCTACATATATCTGCACATTTTCTTAATAATGCAGATAGATACTTTTTATTAAAAACAACCAAACAAGTTTTTACAAATTTGACACACACACAAAGAAAAAAAATATTTAAAACAAGAGAAACGTTTATCTGCTAGCTGTAGTACCCGTCCCCTAGACGGAAGTTATATAAATTTATGATTAACGAAAGGTTATCTTAGGACATGAAAAGTTGCTTCCCTTATATGTAATTGTAAAAAACGCAAGATCGCCCATAAAAACTGCAAAACACAAAATGGACCCAACAAACCTTCATGTCAAATTTGGTGAAGATCCATCCACACCCTACGAAGTAGTTACATGGACATACAACAGACAGTACTCTTATATTTATATAGATTACACTATTCTAGAATATTATACCAAAATACATAATATCTATAAGTAAATATTACATACTCACACATATTTAAAATGAAAGGCTGATGATGTTATTTTTACAAAATAAAATAACGATTTATCCATTATCAGCATAGATAAATAGACACAATAACGTAGATAGTTAAAGAATTTTACAAACAACTTCTTAACTGTTGTTTTATCATTCATAAGGTTTCCATATACTCACTTTTCAACAAACATGTATTACTCAGTTAACGTTCATCTGAGCTAGATATAAAATAAAGGGTCGTATTACGTTTAGTTATACAACTTGCAATGAAAATTATATTGGCAATTACACCACTGAAAACGTGATCGAACTGCATCTAGCGCCCTGAAAAGTGTCTACTCCGCATGATTCTAAAGCCATACCAAAAAGTGCTTTATACGGGGATAAAGACGCTTGTTTAAAGTTTTGTTAAAAGTTATAAGTAGATTTAAACTAACGCCACATGAATTACTGACATTAACAAGTGAAAGCTTAATGGTTATTTAAAAGTGTTTTACCGATTAAAATGTTGTACTTGTATCTTCTAAAAATCAAATGGAATGACTCATTCCACACGCTATTGTTTAATAGAAAGTTATAACAAATACATTTTTCAATAGAACGAAGCCTACAATCTAATTATTACTTTCCATATGCTATTGTTTAATAAAGAATTGTATTAAATACATTTTTCAACAGAACAAGGCTTAAAATCTAATTATTACTTTCCACAAGCTATTGTTTAATAGAGAATTGTATTAAATACATTTTTCAATAGAACGAAGCCTACAATCTAATTATTACTTTCCATATGCTATTGTTTGATAAAGAATTGTATTAAATACATTTTTCAATAGAACGAAGCCTACAATCTAATTATTACTTTCCATATGCTATTGTTTGATAAAGAATTGTATTAAATACATTTTTCAACAGAACAAGGCTTAAAATATAATTATTACTTTCCACAAGCTATTGTTTAATAGAGAATTGTATTAAATACATTTTTCAATAGAACGAAGCCTACAATCTAATTATTACTTTCCATATGCTATTGTTTAATAAAGAATTGTATTAAATACATTTTTCAACAGAACAAGGCTTAAAATCTAATTATTACTTTCCACAAGATATTGTTTAATAAAGAACTGTATTAAATACATTTTTCAAAAGAACAAAGCCTACAATCTAATTATTACTTTCCATATGGTATTGTTGAATAGAAAATTACAATAAAAATTTTTAAATAGATCAAAGCCTACAATCTAACTTTTATGAAACATGCATTTTTTTGTGCTAAAAATGTACATAAACTTATCTGGGTTTGAATTTTTAGAAATCAACCATAATTAACTTAGTGTCGGTGCTCAAGTACACATCAACCAGTGTCAGTTTGACTCTGTTATATTTGTAATTTCAAACAAGAATTTTCTCACGTAGGATTTATTAACTTTCATAAACTGTTCGTTCTTTTTTTTTTTTTTTTTTGACACTAAACAAATGTACCGTTACATCTCATTCTACAAAAATTATTCCGGTAGGAGGGCAAGAAGTAGATCGTTATTGATTCCCGCCTTTCTGGCCCCGAGAGATTCCCTACTGTCGTTCTTACATAAAGAACGTGGTGGTATTACTTTTATTATTGGTTTAGGAACTTGGAGGCAGCAAGTCTGACTGCGTGCAGTAAAGTAAGGCATACGGTGAACACATTTGAATAATATTTGATTAGATAGTTAGTGGCATACATTAAAAGAGAAAAGAAATTACAAGCTGATATCAAAAGTCAAAAGTAGAGAGGCTATCATTCGGATGCAGGACAGTAGTGCGAGTAATACTGTAACAAATTAACCTTCCTTCACTCACATCAAGTGTTACGAAAAAAAAAATAACGAGTTGAAAGGATGAAAACCATCACATTCGTGCATAACTAGTGTAACTAGTGACAGTTGTCCAGCTTGTTGTCCTTCTATAACTAGTGACAACAGGTAAATATCATGGTCCAGCTTGTCGTCCTTGCATAACGTTATGATAGTAGTCAACAAAAAGTCCTAAGTTTAAAGTAGAAGATACATATATATGTAATGCAAGAAAAGATTAAATAATTTCAGGTATATTAACACTTTAAGTAACTTGGTTTATTTTACTCACCTTGTTCTGGCTTGTAGATGCTAATTACTTCCTATGTTGACGTAAAGATAGCGTTAATAGTAATATAAAGTAATGTTTTAGCATATCTCATCATCAGCTCTATGAAATGATAAGCAACGATGTGGTTCACAGTGTTCTCAGAAAATACTAATGCCAATAATCAAGCATAAAGAAGTACCTTATGGAATGACGTCATAAAACTGTAGGACAGTCACGAGTCTGAGTGTGAACAATTGAGTTTATCACTGTTTGTACAAACGGTTTGACAGGGCGCCATTCGAGCTCAATTCCACTACAACCTTCGTCCACTGCAAGCGTTTCATTTCGATCTCCCCACAACACGTATAGGTTCACGAGACGAAGTTGTGGTATCTGTTGCCATCTGTTGGCTAGTTCCATATTTTTTATGGGGGGTGAGGTTGGTACATGCAAGGCCCGAGTTTAAATGGGTCAGATCTGACACTAGACAGTTACTAAAAAGGGAAAGTTGATCCACACTTTTATTTAAAACAACTGTGTGATAAAGTTGTATTCGTCACCATCTCTACCGATCTATTTATTTCCACGCTACTGTCATTTTTTTTACCATTTATTACCACTGTGTGTATTATGCTGAACAAATATATCTCCAAAACATTGGTAACCTACCTGTACAACACGTTCCTTGGCTAGGGTTATTTTAGGCTTAGAGAATTATTTGTTACTCTTTTCTAAGTAATGATTCATAAACAAAAATTTTCTGTTTTAATTTGGCAACTTCTAATATAAAATAATCAACTAACAATGAGCTTCGTCCTACATAATTAATGGAAATAAGCTAAACATAAATATTCGTAAGCTTATCTTTACTCTTTTATTATAATTGAACTGTATATTTTGTAATTTAATCCTTGCTTTCGACGATAGATGGCTCTCTTTATAGTTGTTTGAACAAGACACTTTCATGATCTTTCGTCTTCCAGTTAGGTGTTGAATTTGGAGGTACTTGTTAATTATCTGTGTGCAGTATAAGGACAATCACTTAACTTACCTATCATTGGCTGTTTATTACAAATAATATAATCTCTATAAATCGTAAAATTTGCATGTTTAATACAGAATATAAATAACTTTTCTTCAACCTAAATGTATATATTCCAACGCAAACCTAAGCATTTCACATTTCTCAGTTTATTAAGCTCTCCAAATGTTATGCTGGTGTGTTCGTTGACTCTATGTAGATCATTTAATTAATACCTTTTCTGCAGGATGTAACAACTTTATTATACTTATTTTACATAGTTCAACGACGCATTTACCACACCATAGACATTTAAAATTATACTTGTTATATCTGACTTTTCTCAAATCCTGTGTTACCTTTTTTCAAATTATCGTTTCGCTTTTAAGAAATGGTCTCCTTTGGTTTGTTCTCCTTATATGCTATATATATACTTACTATATACTAAATATGATTAAGTTTGTATGTGTCTGCAATTTATAATAACTTACCGCAATAATTTAATATGTATTTTAGTGGTACATAGTATTAGCTAGATTAATATATATTAATTTTCTTAAATAGCAATAACTACATTGGTCAAATGTGATAAGCATTAATATGAAGCTTTACATGTGATAAGTCTACTTCGGTGCTTGGTACTATCATTAAGCAGGCCCAACCTCTTCAAGTGTTTTTGGGTCAAAGGCCGAAAACGCCGCTAACAGCGAAGTTACCCACTGATGATCTAGGGACAGAATGGTCATAGTAGCTTTTCGTAGTTTGCCTGTTACGTATAATTAAAACTGTTTATTATCAATTGTAATTATTATTGTATAAATTTAGTAACTGTTCTGGTAGAAGTTATTTTATAATGGTAAATTTCAGAGGTCGTTGGGATGTTAGGTGTTTTGTTTTTTACTGACACTAAAATTATGTAAAATTCAAATAAATGTCTATTTTTGTTATGTCAGCAGCATTATTTGTTTGTTTGTTTTGAATTTAAGCACAAAGCTACACGATGGGCTATCTGTGCTCTGCCCACCAAGGGTATCGAAACCCGGTTTCTAGCGTTGTAAGTCCGCAGACATACCGCTGTGCCATTATATAAATATTTTGGAAAGAGTGGTGATACAGTATTTCTCTAACGATCGATTTTCTTGAGACGAAATATAACGTTTTTACAAGATCTGTTACCACAGCACAAATTTCGCTGTCCTTATGTTTACAGTTTGAAGAAATTTTTGAGTTAAAATGATAAAACAATAGCCGTTTATCTTTAGAAAATCCAACAAACATTTGTCGATACGAGTGACTAATTTATGTTAAATATGGAAATTAAGACTGCAATCGATAGCTAAATATGAAAAATAAGACTATAGCCAATAGTTAAGTATGAAAATTAAACATGCAACTAGTATTTTTGTAAAGATTTATTTTGATTGTAAAAAAATCATTACATAAATTTATGTTATATATATATATATATATACTGGCTGAATGTATTAAAGTTTTTTACAGAACACTTAATAAATATAGCTTCTCCAACCAACGTTATATTTACGTAAATGTGGAAACAATTCACCAATAGTGGGCGCTTCCCTAGAAACCACGTAACGAAAACATTCTCCGATTCATAGTATATGTATATATTGTGCGACAGACACCTCGTGCATTCAGTATGGTATGGGTGTAAAATTGATTAACTGGGCAACAGGATACTTTAGAAGAGATTAACCGGTAGTGATATCAACCAGTCTATATTTTTTTTATTTTTCCTGGAGTTTATTAAAGCGTTAACACAGGGAAATGTTTTTGTGAGGAGCTGGGTTTTACTCCCGATTTACCAAACTACATGAAATAAATCTAATATTCGTGCAGGTGTTGTTGTTGTTTTTTTTTCACACATACCTTTAATTAATATCTTAAAGGACTTGAAACCATAATCATGTAATAGACTTATTAAAAGGAATGAAAAAAACAACAACTTGAGTCTTGCGCACTTTTTATCACGAATATTAGGTCTACTTAAAAGTAGTGTTCAAACTTATCAAGTCACATTCTACCCCGGTGGAACAGCGGTAATTTTATGAACCTACAATGCTAGAATCGGGGGTTCGATTCCTCGCGGTGGACACAGCAGATAGCCCGATGTAACTTTGCTCTAACTCAGACAGACAAACAAAGCACAGATATCCCGTGGTGTAGCTTTGTGCTTAACAACAAATAAACACAATCAAGTCATACAACGTGGCTACAAGTATTACTTTGTCAACACGAAGCGTGTACGTGTTAAATGGGACTGGCTTAGGAAAAAAAAAAAAGAGATATTTTACACAGTTAAGTCTGAAGGCTTATAACGCTAAAAACCGAGTTACAATACCCGCGATGGGCACAGCACAGATAGCCCATTGTGTAAATTTGTGCTTATAAACAAATGTATTAAACTTTTATCTATCGTTTTCACGAAAAACTGTAAAATCAAACAAAATAATTCCAACTTATTAAGACTAGAATTGTTCCAAAGTATACTGAGAGTTCTGTATTTGTATTTTTGTACTTGTCTAAGACTCTAATTTTGTATTTTATATTTAGAGAAATGATTCTCAAGCTACCTGCCACCGTCCCTAATTTTGAACTGCCGACCAAATAGTTTGGTTTTGTTTCAATTTCGCGCAAAGCCACACGAGGGCTATCACTGCTAGCCGTCTCTAATTTAGCAGTGATAGACTAGAGGAAAGACAGCTAGTCATCACCACCCACCGCCAACTCTTGGGCTACTCTTTTACCAACGAATAGTGGGATTGATCGTCACATTAGAACGTCCCCACGGCTGAAAGGGCGAGCATTTTTGGTGGGACGGAGATTCGAACCCACAACCCTCAAATTGCAAGTCGAGCGCCCTAACCACCTAATCATGCCGGGTCCCGACCAAAGGGAAGGACAACCAGTCAGCAACACCTACCACCCACCCATCCAAAGCCAATGAATTGCTACCTCTCTTCTAATGCACCCACAACTTAAAGTACGTTGAATATTTAGTGGTATCGCATGGATTCGAACCTGGGTCGCCAGCTCCCAAATCCAGAGCTCTACCAGCCCGAGCCCCTAAGAGCCTTACCTAACCAAAAGTAACAACAACGAAAATATTTACAGGTGACCCTAGTCACAAAAAAAAATAAATAAATGAAATCACTAAATTGACAAATTTCGGTTTTCTTAGTTCACACTGAAGTTTTAGAAAACAACGTTAACAAGGTTTAACAGTAATTTTCAGAAAATATTTTGATTTTGTTGAGCGTTTCATTTAAATAGTGCTAAATATTAGAAACACTGGACTAGATCTGATAAAGTAAGTTTGTGACTACTTCCTTAAATTCAGTTACACATAAAAAATTTCTATCAATTATAAAAATAAATAAATGAAATAGATTTAAAGCGTTTTTTTTTTTACGTCATCAACAACTAAGTCATTTTTAGCGGGTTTTATTAAAATATTAGTGAATTTTCTTGTTCGCCTCTTAGCGAACTTCGGTTGTAAAAGTAAAAATCATTCGCTCCACGCACCTAAACTTGATTACAGATCGAAAGGACGCCGAATATACAAAGTCAACAAGTGTGAGAAAATACAACGAAAAGAAAAGAGAGACAGAGATAAGTTATTCAACATGGAAACTACTTCCGAAGAAAATAAAGCTTTTATAGATGAGCCAACACGGAATTATAGCCGAGAAAAACAACACGCGTGAGGCTTAACACAGATAAGCCTTAAAATGGAGCGTAGTGGTTTATAAATGTAGAGGAAAAAATCACACACATACACTGCCTCGTGACATTTAAGTATTGTTCATTTGCTCGTGAAGTAAACTGCCACGTTGTATACGTACGAACGTATCAGCAGATCTTTGGGAGGGTAATGGCGCATACGGAAATACCGGGGGGTAACTCTATGAACATTGCTTAATTTTATTTTCCACACAATTATTCGAAAGTTTTGTTTGTTTGTTTGTTTTTGAATTTCGCGCAAAATTACACGAGGGCTATCTGCGCTAGCCGTCCCTAATTTAGCAGTGAAAGACTAGAGGGAAGGTAGCTAGTCATCACCACCCACCGCCAACTTTTGGGATACTATTCGAAAGTTTAGTAGCCTTTATAAACATCACAGGAAACTTACTGAAAGTAATAAAAGTATTTCATTTTTCTCGCATTACACAAGTTGTTTGTTAAAATAACTGTCTGAAGACACGTGAAACATGCATGTTCATATTTTGGAAAGAGATAGATGGATAAACCTTTAAATCGCGGTCTCCAATTAAATACGTATTTTCATGCTAGTCCGACAACACGTAGAGAATACCAGT